TGGAGCTCCGGAGATCCCAAGTTTCTCAGACCAAGCAAACTAAATCCCAGTACGACCAATTAGAGCTCCAGAGAAGCAAAATTCCTCACAACAAGCAAGCAACCAAATCGCTCAAACCCGAGGTCATCACCGCCGCCAAAGCTCCTCAAACCAGATGCAACAGAAACAGATCAAGCCTACCACAGCCGAGTCTACGACGATGGTACTCAATCGAGCTCCGCTACGGGTTGGGTTACCTCTTGGGTGTGAACCAGGAAGGCTTGTCCCCGGCTCCGTCACCGTCCCGGTCGCTGGTGCTCGCGTTCAGGCCCGTCTCGACGTCCCGCACTACGGTGACCGCCATGGCCTGCACACCTGCTGCTGCTGCTGCTGCCTCCGCCTCCTGCTTAGGCTCCTCCGGCCCCAGCACCGGCACCGGCTCCTGCTTGGCCTCCGCCGCCGGAGTCGCCGCAACGGGAGGAGGAGGGAGGGAATCGGAGGCGGAGTCGACGGGGGAGCCTGCGACTAGCACCACGACCCTGGCGTCGGCGTCGTCGCTCGCGTCCTGGACTGCGGCGACGGGTGATCCGCCCATAAAAATATGGGCTGGATTTTGACTTGGGGGTATCGGTTACCGCACGGGATTCGTCTCGTGCACGGTCAGTATCCCAGCGAAATATCTCATGGGTCCAAACGGAACGGATAATGCGTTGCGTCGCGCGGGGAGAGGGTTTGTTTTTGGTTTGCTTCGTTTTTATAGCGGATCAGCGGCGGGCAGCTGAGCTGAATATTCGGTGAATATATTGATATGGGGAAGAAGAGACCGCTGTGGTTTCGGCCGGGAGGGGAAGGCGACGACGCGGCCGTGGAGCTGGGGAAGGGGACGAAGGCGGGCTACGGGAGCACGAATGCTGGGGTGTTGGCTGCCGGCTGGTAGGAGATTCCTTCCTCTCTCTCTCCCGAGCTTGGCTTCGCAGTTCGCACGCTGCCCTCCGGCCTCCGGCGGCGTGGTGATGGCAACCAGGGAGACAGGCGCTAGTGGACGTGCGGGGCACGCGGCGCGTGGACCAGGCTCATGGACCGCCCGCTTATCTGCCCTCCGGTAGCTACTCCTACTACTTGGACGCTTTCTAATGCGCGATTGGTAGCTGAAGTTGTTGCAAACAACGGCTGATCTTTGATTCTATGAGAATGCACGTTCTATTTTATTTTCAAAAAACATGTATATAGTAATATAATAGTAACTATGCGTACTAGTAGAATAAATCCTACTCCAAGATGGGATCCTTTGGAACTTAAGAATTTCATTATTGAATTTCAAAAAAAAAAAAATTATAAGAAAGCTACTAGGAAATATGAACAATCCAAGCAGCTCCGATCAGCATGGTTTCACACTTTCACGTCCAAAATTGTTTATCCATAGACCGTTTGGTTGGCGCTTGGCAGGCACAAAAATAGCCCTTGAAGCAGTACCAGACGTACCCGATATGTCACCTTTTCAGTTCTGGAGCCAGTATGCAATTCGAAGCTGCTACGTCGTTGAACAGTTCCGCTCCGTGCCGTTCGCCGTTCGGGCCGTGCCTTGCAATGGCCCCTGGGCCGTGACCGTCAATGTTCAGTTTAAAGTTTGAAAGGCGTGCCAAGCTTTAATGCGGACATGTCTAAAGGCCTCTAAAGATTTTTCCCAGTGCGGTGAGACCGTGAGAGGTTGCTTTAGCTCACAAATGATCACTGCACGAGACATACGTGCTTTGGACACGAAAAAGTGCTGCTGCTCCTGTAGAAAACATGCGCTTCATCCGTCACGGAGTGGGCGACGTAAAATTGTAGCAGGTGAGCTCCAGGACCAGGAGTCACGCCTAAGTTATCTACAGGCTGTTACCCGTTTGTTCTGTCTTCCACTCCACTTCACCATGGCGTGGCCCGTGTGCTTTGCTAACCTAACTCGCTCAGGATTTGAGATGGTCCAAATGTGTCTTTGATTGACACCGAAGTGCACTACACCCATCGTTTCGTCAAAAGAAAAAGGAAATACACGACCCATGCGTGCATGATGAATCGACGCTTTGTGTGCATGCATTCATATGCAACCACTACAAAAACGGTTTATGAGACAATTGGCAACATGGTCAGTCTCTAGAAATAGTTTTTAGAAAATAAAAAAACTTTCATAAAAAATTAGCAAAACTAATTTTAATCACATGAGAAGACCACCATAGAAGTACTGCTCATGTAAGCCCCCCTTCTACCACTCCGCAACACCGTCCTCTGTGACAACGCTGGATGCTATTAATTTTTATTAGCTTTTATAAATCTTGTATTGTATATTTGACTCTTAAATGATTTTTAAAAGATTTTTTTTGAACTGTAGAGTTTTAGTTCTCACCGAACACAACAACTTTGTTGCAGGGTGTCTCTCCATCTGAGCTCGTTTAAAAAACTCATGAAAAGCTGAGAACTTATAAAATATAATTTGAGACCCTAAATGATTTTAAATGAAAAAAAAATCATCAACTGTAAAATTGTAGGTATATTCAGTTCTACAACTTTGATATGAATTTTGTCTTTCGACTTTATTTGAAAAGTTATGATTTTTTGTGTTGTGCCTATTTTTAAATGCGGACCACATTGCTAACCATCTCTAGAAATCCAAAAACCTGATTTTCAAAAGCATCCTCTATTTTCAAAGGTTGTTCACAAAAAAATTGCTTCTAGAGACGACCGGTGTTGTCAACAACCTTTGAAAATAGAGGGTACTGTAGAGACAAGTGGTATTTAAAAAAAAAATTAGAGATGGTTTTTTATAGAGCTGCATTTGCCTAAAATATAGAGCGCCTTTGAAAATCGTTTCTGGCATAGTGATCTGTTGTCTCCTCTCTCTCTCTCTCCCATCACCTCTTTTGCAAGGGCTTTATATCAATTATTAATATATTAAGGGTAACATTATGGGAGCTTTATATGCATCTAGAGGATCTAGAGCGCCACACATGGCGGCCATCACTGAGGGCAAAAGACGCTTTAGCTAGATTATGAGCTTTCGACATTGTTCTCCTTTCCTTCGTGGCAGAAGCTTGACTGATGCAGAGTTGCAGACCTGAGCCCTGAGCGTTCCAGGGGCTGGCCAGGCTTATTGGGCCTTTTCTAGTATCTAGGATATAAACATGTTTGTTTCATGTTGGCCCATGATAATTCAAGGTGCGTACTCCGTATACCTGATGCTGCCAAACCAGGCTCACTTTTATGTAGTACTGCCAGATAGGATCATCAGTTTTTTTTTTGAGAAACACCGCTCTTTATTAATTATTAATCAGCTTGGAGAGCAAAGTTACAAATGCCTTCTGGCAGTGAGGTCAACCAAACTCTTCTACCCAAATCAAAAAAGACAAATCCTCTAGCTAAAGAGTGAGCATCCACATTGGAAGTTCTACTCTCATGAACAAAAACAAAGGACTCAAGAGATCGCGCTCCTACCAACCCTATAGATGGTCAAATGGGTGTCATGGCCCGATACGGCACAGACATGGTCGGTAAGAGTAAGTGTCAGGTCATGTCGTGCAGCCCAACATGCTCAACTTATAAGATCCGACTCCAACAACGCGACGCAACCGCAAAATTATGTCCGCCACAGTGCATTTGCGTTCTCAGAACCGGCTCCAACGGACGACGCAGAGCCGGCACACATTTTGGGTGGGAGGAGAGAGGGGAGGCAAATTTGCCTTCTCCCGACATCGCCACCCAAACTCTGTGATCGAGGCGTCTTTAGCAGATTATGCAGGGCTCCTCATTGTTCTCGACTTTCCTTCGACGGCAGGAGCTTGACTGAGGTCACGCGGACCTTCTCGAGGACGTTCTCTCGAGGGCGTGGCCTTGCTCCTCGCCGGGCCTTTTCAAGGTCGCCATGGGTCGCTTTCTCCCCATATAAACATGTTTGACCTTTTGAGCAGTGGCCCATGATAATTCAAGGTGCGTACTCCGATACCTGATGCTGCCAAACCAGGCTCACTTTTATGTAGTACTGCCAGATAGGCATCATCAGTTTTTTTTTTAGGAGGGGTCCCTCTTTATTAATTATTAATCAGCTTGAGATAGTTACAAATGCCTTCTGGAGGTGAGAGAGAGAGGGAGGTCTAGGCAAAAAAGACAAATCCTCTAGCTAAAGAGAGCGGAGGAGTCCACATTGGAAGCAGCTACTCTCATGAAGGAAAACCAAAGGATCTTTTGAGATCGCGCTCCTGATGTTTTGGTCCTAACCCATTGGGTGTCATGGCCTGATACGGCGCAGACATGATGAAATGCCTTTCGTTTTTAGGTCCCCACGGTTGGAGACAGTCTAAGATCCAAACGCGCCACTAGGCAAAGTTAACCGTGGCGTGTCTAGCCTGGTGAGCCTATGGGCACTGCATTCATCTTATTCGGACAAAAGAATTTAAAAAATCATCAGAAAAAATTACAAAGCTCATAGATCTCACGAATTAATCACAAGTCCAAATTCATACAACCACAAATCAATCACAAAATAGAAGAACTTGCCACGGGAAAGCCATGGATCCTACCGCACGTGCCTAGCCCTTGTTTAATCATCTCTCACTTAGTTTAGACTCACTTCGAACTTTCTCGCTCATACTCATGTTCTTTCGGCCCTTGGTAATCATCTTTCACTTAGTTTAGAGTTATAAAATTTTTGTGGTGTGGCACCATTCATGTTGTGGGCTTGTGGCCAGGCCGACCAAGCTTAAGCCCATGCATATTGCGACTTGGTATGCACACGTGTGACTAGCTTAATTTCTATCCTTTTTTTTCACCTCTCAACTCAATATATAAATAGCCATGTATTTAAGTTAAGTCAATCTCCAACCAATTCTTCCTATGATTATATTTTATTGCAGCTAGCATTTATTATTGGCATTAGGGTTTCAAAAAATAAAGTTGGATCATGTCCAATTAAATTCAACATGATAGCTAGCTCTATATGACCATACAACATGATGTCATATTTGCTAGTTATACAGATGATGAAGCCTTTAATTTGGAGAAGCGGAAGTGTAGACCACTGGGAGCTGCGGCTGGTCCTGGACGACCAAGGTCAACACCTCGGGGCGCGAGGAGTGCCCCACGACGTCGAAGTCGAACTTGGCCCGAACGATTTCACTGAAATCTGTACACGGCACACAGAGACACAGCGAACGTGTCAGCGCAAAGACGTGCGGTGATGAAGAGTTGGTTCTCGATCCTCAATACTAGCTACGCACCTAGATCGGCCGTGAGGAGTCCCTCGCCGTCGTACTTTGGTCCTGCGAGGACGGCCCCGGACGGCGAGACGATGACGCTGCCCCCGCGGCAGAGGTCGTCGTCCGGCGCAGGCTCCTCGTCGAACCCGGTGAAGGCGTACTCGGGCGGGGGCGGGTAGTCCTTCCTGCGGCAGAACTGGTTGGTGGACAGGAGGAATCACCCGCCCTCGTGCGCGACGTGCCTCACGGACGCGTGCCAGAGGTCGGAGTCGTCGGCGGTGGGCGCGCAGTAGATCTCCATGCCCTTGCCGTAGAGCGCGGCCCGGGCCAGCGGCATCTTGCTCTCCCAGCACACGAGCGCGCCGACGCGGCCGATCGGGGCGTCGTTAGAGCGAGAGTGTGGAGCCGTCCCCGTACCCGTACCCCCAGAGCACGCGCTCAGCGCCGTGGGCAGTGTCATAAAATCGTCCAATTTATAAGAGCATAAGTACAATAGCAATCACCGAAGCGATCAAATTGTCATATTTGAGCCTATATAAATCCGGTAGTCCAACGAAATCACGAAGGATCTCAAATAACCAGCATACAAAACAAAATCGTAGAGATTCAACACAACCCATCACATGTTACATCACAAGTTCACAAATATATCTCATACATCACAGTTCGAATAATTATTACAAACAGAGTTTAAAAGTAGCGGAAGCAAAGTAGTTTAACATCAACACCACACATAGTTTAATACAAGCCAGTGTCATAGTCATCTCCAACCAAAAGCACAAAGGTGAGATGAAATACAGAATGACCATTGCCCATGGTCCTAGTCCTCGTCCACGGCAGGAGCAAGACAGTTCTTGCAGTAGCTATGAAACATAACGTTATCTACAACAATGAGAATAAAACACTGAGTACGAGAAGGTACTCAGCTAGACTTACTCGTCCAATTAATATACTAAGACACCAAGGAGTATGCAAGGCTTTATAAGTAGAGCTGGTAAACATTATTTACAGAAAAAGCATAAGTTATTCAACATCTCTTTAATTGTGAATCACCAGTTATTAATCCTATCTTATACTAGATTAGCAACTATCCTATGCCAAACAAGTTGGCACCATTAAGTCATCACAATAATAACCATATCCAGTTGAGTTCTTGCATAATCTCATAACCATCATTTCCATCATTTACTACGATGAAGTGTACTCAAGTCAAGTTCTCACTATCCGGGAGAGACGGCGATTCGAATCGATTCCTACCCAGCTGGGGAATTATTCCTAACACACACCCAGGCAGACCAGATCATTAGTCGCCTTAGATCACCTTTGGTACAACTCAGGAACTAAATTCGCGGGTATGATCAGCGCCGCACAATCAGAGAACCACTCTGCCAAGGGTGATCGAGGCTCTAACCCGCCCTTGGGCTTACGCCAATAGCTCTCCGCACATCCTTACTACCATCCAGAGTGCGCACTTTTACCGCTCGTGGTCCCGGCCTGAATTGAGTTACTCGGCTTCGCGGTCGGAACGACTTATCCGGCCAACTATGTGAGAGACTGCGTTCAACATGACAAGATAAACCTCCAACGGCCGGTCTTTAAACGACATAGACGGAATCACTACAATACCACATATAAGACTCCGCCCGGTCTCCATTTATTCAACAATACCAGGTTATGTTCCACGACAGCACAATATAGCCAACCGTGATCAAATTATCACATATAACTCGCAGGTGACAGAAAATCACCCGACTTCTACCGGTCTAAGCATAGCTAAGCATAATACACGTTCTTGGACTTAATTAGGATTCATGGTAGATATTTCTGATCAGGAAAAGGTAATATGCAGCAATTGTTTCCAAACAACTCCTATCACGTAATGCAATAATACGAATAACTTTAAGTGACATTAATAAAATAGGGAGGCTTATAATGCTCCGGGGCTTGCCTTTCACAAACGTCGAAGGCTGGTGACCGGGGCACTCGGGAAGGTGATCGACTTCAGGCTCTCCTTCTCCGGGAACCTTCAGGTGCTGAACTTCCTGATGCTCCTCCTGCTGCTTGGCGTCGAGCTCCACTAGTGTGATCCCCTCGGTTGCACCTATTGCATGCATATGCATAAATAAGTACCATGAATGTATAAGATGGATCACGAAGGATGTGATAAAGGAATGTACATGCTGCGATACTGATGTTAAGTAGCAAAATGATGACAATGCTAACTCCTTATTTACCTAGTAGGTACATATCTCTTCTCTAGTTATTTACAAATTTCACACAAAACAATATCTAAGTTACGCATGACCGTTACAAGTTTATATCATAACTGAAGTTATACTTATCCAAATGCTATGATCTTAGACTTTCTAGAAAGCTTATAAAATTGTCTACAACTCTTATTTAATCACCAAAAGCTAATTCACACTCTATCCTAACCAAAACAGGCAATCAATACAGTGCTGTCCAGAAATTCCAGAGAGCAAATATTTCGGAAAACTAACTTTAAACATCTATAACTCCTAAACTACTAGGATAAATACCACCAAATTTTAACAGGAGTTAGATACCCAAGTTATCTACAACATTTGTATTCACCACTTTCCCAGCAAACCAAATTATCATGGTGAACTTTGCAAAGTTCGTAGAACTGTCCAGAAAGACATAATGCAAGAAAATAATTATTAACTTATGTTGCAAACATATAAATGGACAAAACCAACTTTACTAACTCATCACACATATCAAAAGAACACCAGAAAGTAAGGTGTTCACCACCAATTCATTTCTTTTAATGCCTTTCTTAATTTATTTAATTATTTAAGGATAATAATACACATATATAAAAACTGCACCATTTAATCTTCAAAAAATACAGTAGGTACTACATGCACCAAGTGTGTTACTGTAAAAATTTCACATCATTTTAACAAGTATGACATACTACACAAAAATGACAAGGCAGAAAAGCTCAAAATAACATAAATAGGAAACCCCAGTGAAAAATGTCAAGCAACAGATTTTATATTTTTCTTATCATCCCTAAAGTACTAGGACAACCTCCAATAAATTTCATGGTCATTGATTCATAGATTAATTACTAAAATTCACACAAGGATCATCTAATGATAAAAGGAAAATCTATAACTCAAAAACTATTCATGCAATGACTCTCGAATTTTTACCAGAGCTTCTACTCATAAACAATAGCTCACCATACAAATTTCATAATTTTTGGAGCACAAGAACTCTAGATATAATTTAAACAAGTTTGCATGCATCTAAAAACATATTTCAAGTTTCAATTTAATTCTTCCAGAAACTCTACTATAAGTGTTCATGTTATATTTTTTCTAATACTAGACTTCACCAAGATACTAACAAAATTAGAACCACTCAATTTGGATCTACCAAACTCTAGATATAAATTTTACAAAAATAGCATTCAAATCTGTAAAAATGAACTATCCTTCTAATACACAGTCGCTAACAAACAGGGTCCACCGGTCAGCCGGGCCCGCGTGTCATAGACACAAAAACAGAGGAGGCGGCTCTACTCAACGTGGACCGGCGGAGCTCGCCGACGGCAGCGTCTCCGGCGACGGCAGCGGCACTAATAGCTTCCATACGACGACGCGCACCTACCGAGCTACCTATCAAGACCTATCGTCGGAGCTAGCCACGATGGCGGCGCTCATGGCGGAGCGGCGGCGCGGGACGACGGCGATACGACGGAGCCGGCCGAGGTGGCTCGATCTAGGGCTCGGCCAAGCACCTACAGACCACTTCGAGGCTAGCGCACAAGCGATTAAGGCGAATGGCGGACGGAGGTGTCCCGGCCACGGTGACGGAGCTCCGGCGAGTCCGTGCGCGGCGCTGCGGCTTACCGGGCGTGACTAACAATCAACTGAGGGCGCGGTGGTGCGTTGGGAGTTTGATGAGGCTATGGCGGCGACGGAGGAGGGACGCGGTGCGCTCCGGGCCGGCAATGGCGACGGCGGCACTGCGGTGCTGCTGCTGTGGTTGCTGCGGGTGAGTGCGAAGGCGAAGGAGAAAGCCACGCGAAGAAGTGAGAGTGCAGAGGCGTCACAGGCGAGCGTGGGCTTGAGTTGGCGTCCTCTGGCCTGGCGTGGCCTAGCAGGTCAGGACGTCGGCGACGGGTGGCTTCCACGCGGCATCCAAGCGCTGGCGTCGGTCGGCCACTGAAGCCGAGCGAGTTGGCCATCAGAGCGTCGATTTCCGGCCTGACAGCGCAAGTTTGTGACGCTCGTTCTCCTAAACCGTGAAGCAAAATCGAAAACCATCTAAATAAAAGTCGTAGACCTATATACCATCTTCAATTTTTGTTAAAGAATCAAATTCTAATTCGCAACCAAAACGGAGTAATATCATGTCAAAGTCGAGCCAGTGCAACTGAAAAACCGAAAAAGACTTAGAAAATTCTAAGTGTTGCAAAACCGTGATTTGTTGGTTTTTGTGAGCATCAAATGACTAAGCTATGCACTGATTTAGCTCAAGACTCAAACATAAAAGTTGTTGCCCTGCTCAAATACTACAACTTTACTTAAAGGTTCACTGCCATGCAAAGACTATCACATAGTTCAAACTAGATCAAACATGGCACTTTAAAATAATATCATACACCATATCAATGACTTAGAGATTAAACTAGACTTAGTCATGAATACCAAAGTTATTCTTTATGCTATTCTAAACATGTTTAAAACATTCACAAGGTTCCACACACATTTCATACATTGGTTCCATAAAAACCCTAACTTAAGTAAGGTAAATAAGTAATACACATGAAATGTAAGCTAACAAAGGTATAGCAATTGAAATGCTGATGCACATGCATGCTCATAGATGCTTATGATCATGCAATGTCAAGGTTAAATACATGCTTAACATCGAGCGTGTTACATGCACCGGCTTCCGGGGCTTCCCGAGCAGCTCCCCCGCCGGGCTGAAGAAGAGCACCGTGTTGTACAGCGTGCGCCCGTGCCGCTCCACCGCGCCCGTCACCAGGTACACCCTGTACTCGGCGGCGAACGAGGCCAGCCGGTTCGTCTCGGGACCTGCGTCGGTCGTTGCGCGGCCGCCATGTGCAACGACGCGTCGGTTGGGGTGTCACGGATTCTCACGTTCGGATGTACACAAGTTGCCGGTGTTTCCGGATCAGAGCTTACCGGGGACGTCGATGGAGGAGGCGTAGTACTTGCAGAAGAGGTCCTTCCCCTTTCCCCCCTTTGCCTGCGGGGGGCCGCCGATGGTGACTCCGAAGTCGCTGCCATGGGGGAAACCGCCGACGAAGACTTCCGGGAACACCACCAGCTGCGCGCCCTGCTTGGCGGCCTCTGCTATCAGTTTCTTTGCTTTCTCTGAAGAAAAAAACAGGTTCAGTAGCAGTAGTAGCCTGGTTCTGTTCAGAGACCAAATCCTCTTTCTACGTCGAAAGAAATCTACGTCTTTCTTTGAAAGAAGCGGCAGGAACTTACCATGATAATAGTGATAGAGAAGAAGCGAAGAAATCAAACGAGATGATATTGTTTATTGTCCAAGCTTGAATCAAACAGCGTGTTTTTTTTTTTACGCGAGGAACCTCCCCATTCCCATTGCATAACAACGGGAAATACAACATTTTTAGAGTATTACAGAGCAAATAAAAGACAGTTAAGAAGACGCCCATATCATCCTACGAACCATCGCCTGATTCAGACGACTACCAAGGGATCTAAACGTTTCTGAGAAAGACTAATGCAAGAACAGACTTGCAACAAAACAGGGCTGTGTCTACATAGTTTCTGGCAGAACCAGCACAAAAAACAGCCGCGAACCATCAGCTCCAAGCTTGATGGTCATCAGTACACCCTTCAATCTTGTTGATCATCGTCTTGTCCATCCTTCAGCTGAGGAGGTCCTCAGTTCATGTTCTTCTTTGATGTCAGGCTCACCGCGATCGCCAGCATCGTGTTCACTCCTGCTTCCAAGGCTTCCTTGTCAACTCCCAAGAACAAACCTGCCCAGTAACCCATGAGCGCACAAGCATAACACACAATTGATGCAGGATTCGTCATAGCTTTGCCTTCAAAGCAAACAGAGTTACGTGTCTTCCAGATGGCCCAACAGACCGCAGCAATACCCAACGTATGAAATTGCTTGCCAGCAAGCAGCCATCGTTCACACCAAGCCCAGCATTGATTAAGAGATTTAGGGATATTGGTAGCACCGATAGCATGCGCTACAATTGCCCACACGGCTTTAGCAGTGCTGCACTGAAACAAGAGATGCTGAATGTTCTCATTTTCAGGACAGAAATAACAGATCGGTGAACCCTGCCATTTCCTTCTAATCATGTTATCCTTTGTGAGAATTGCATTATTCATTGTGAGCCATAGAAAAATCTTGATCTTGGAAGGAAATTTTCCTTTCCAGATCATTTTATGATATGGACCAACATCACTTATGGTCATGGCCTTATAAACAGATTTAACACTGAATTTTCCATTAGTGCCAAAACGCCATTTAATCACATCTCTCTCATCTGGTAACTGAATATCATCTAGTTTACTAAGAATGGTCAGCCAATCAACTCTTAAATCATCTACCAACCATCTAGTAAAAGTCATGCTGTTTATATCATTTTTCAGATGAAAAACAGTTAACTCAGGCTGCTCACATATCTTAAAAAGCTCAGGAAAAAGAATACAAAGAGGCTTAGAGTACAGCCAAGAATCCTTCCAAAAAAGTGTATTCTTACCATCCCCAATCTCGATTTGTCTACCTTGAAGGTAAATGTTTCTAATCTTGAGAAGGTCAGACCACATAGCAGAATCTGTTTGTCTGTGATTCACAGTACAAACAGATTAGCCTTGAAGATATTTAAATTTGATGATCTGCTGCCATAATCCATCTTCATTTTCTAACTTCCACCACCACTTACACAGCAGACTAATGTTCATCTTCCTAACATCCTTTATTCCCAGCCCACCTTTTTTCTTGTGTTTACAAATTTTTTCCCATTTTACCAAGTGGTACTTTTTCTTGGTGCCACCACCTTGCCAAAAGAATCTTCTACGAATCTTATCAAGTTTATGAACAATGGTTTTGGGGAGTAGATAAATGGACATGTGATATATCGGAGCATTGTTTAAACTGGAATTGATCAAAGTTGACCTACCAGCTATCGACATTGTTCCACCTTGCCAAACATCGAGCCTTTTAGCACTTTTTTCAACCAAGGGCAACCAATCACAGACATGAAGCCTGCTAGGACTAACTGGTACTCCAAGATATTTCAAGGGAAAGGTACCAACTTGGCAATTAAAAATTTCAGCATAATATTCAGCCCAATTCGCTTCATCGTTAATTGTCAGGATTTCACTTTTGTGAAAATTGATTTTAAGACCTGCCATCAATTCATACAGATACAGTAAAAGCTTAAGGTTCCTAGCACCATTAATGTCATGCTTCAAGCAAATGATAGTATCATCGGCATATTGAAGGATAGCAACTCCCTTATCTACAATATGATCAATCAAGCCACTAAACAGACCATTTGCCTGAGCTTTATGAACCATCCTAGTCAATCCATCAGCCACAAAATTAAATAGAATTGGGGACAGGGGGTCACCCTGTCTCACCCCTTTGTGACTTTTTATATAGGGACCAATGCTATTATTGAGCTTCACACTAACAGTACCCCCAGTGACAACTTGCTTAAGCCAGCTGCACCATTTTTCACAGAAACCTCTAGCTGCTAAGCATTCAAAGAGAGAGCCCCACTTGACTTTGTCGTAAGCCTTTTCAAAGTCTAATTTCAGAATGATCCCAACTTGTTTTTTCCTCTTGGTCTCATGTAAAATCTCATGTAAGACCATAATTCCACTCATAATGTTCCTTCCTTTCATGAGGCTGTTTGATTAGCATGTATTAACTTTTCAGCCACCTTTTCCATTCTTACAGTTAATGATTTGGTAATCAATTTGTAAAGGCAATTAAGTAGACAAATAGGTCTGAATTGCTGAATTTTGCAAGCATCAGGTACCTTAGGGAGTAAGGTAATAATACCATAGTTAAGTCTACTGATATCCACATTGCCTTCATGAAAATCATGGAACAGCTGCATAATATCATCCTTGACAAAACTCCAGTATGTTTGATAGAATTCAATAGGAATTTTGTCAGGGCCTGCTGCCTTGTTTTTTTTCCATTTGATAAAGAGCTTCTTTTACTTCTTCTTCAGAAAAAGGTGCACATAGCAAAGAGTTATCCAGATCAGTAACTTGTTCTCGGTCAGCCCAGAGGGAACTATCCAAATGGATATCATACTCCTCCCCAGGACCAAAAAGCCCGGCATAATATTCTGATGCATGTTTTAACAAATTCTCATCTCCTTCAATGATATTGCCATCATGTTCAAGTGAAAGTATGGTGTTCTTTCTTTTCCTGCCATTGGCAATTTTGTGGAAGTACTTAGTATTGTTGTCCCCTTTCAACAACCACTCCTCATGACACCTATTGTGCCAGTATGTCTCTTCTTGATCAAGAAGTTTCAGATTTTCTTGGATTAACCATGATTTTCTAAGCATTTGTTGATTGGTTAAACCATCCAATTCCTCAATTGCTTCTAACTCCCTAATCTCTTCACTCACATTTTTCCTTTGTTTCCTCAAATCACCTTGAAGATTGAAACCCCAGCCTTTGAAGTACTGTTTTAGTAGCTTCAATTTTTGCTGAATTTTATCTAAGGCAGATGTAGCTCTACAAGGTTTCAGCCAAATTTTCTCAGCAGCAGTGATGAAATCAGGGTTAGAAAGCCAGCTTAATTCAAACCTGAATTGGATTGATTTGGTGTTCCTATGTTGTCCAGAAGCTAAAATTAAGGGGTTGTGATCAGATACTTCCCTTGGAAGTTTCCTGACCCAAACTTGGGGGAATAAATCCTCCCAATCTTTTGACATCAAAATCCGGTCAAGTTTCTCTAAAATGGGAATGTCTTGATTATTGGACCATGTATACATGCCACCGGTCATTTCTATTTCCCTTAACTCATGAAAATCGATGAGTGTATTAAAGAGGTCAGAGAATCTCTGTACCCCACACAACCTATTTCTTTCATTTGCATATCGAATAATGTTGAAATCACCACCAATTAAGATGAGATCAGAATTGCTAGAACAGAAGGAGGATAATTCAGCAAGAAATTGTAATTTCTGATCATCATGTGCAGCCCCATACACAACGATTAAGTTCCATTTTAACTTGTTTATTTTATCCCAAAGATTCACCTGTAGCATGAATTCCCCTTTTTTGAAGGATCCAACATCATAGAATTCTAAGCGGACACCCACCAAAATACCCCCAGATTTTCCTTTGGCAGAATTGTATAGCCAGAGATATTCTTGATGAGGATCAAATTTTCTTAACAGACTATCTTCACAATCCTAAACCATAGTCTCTTGCAATCCAATGAAATGGAAAGAATATTGATAGATGAGATCTTTGAGAAAAGTGGCAACGCCCTTCTTCCTGAGACCTCTACAGTTCCAAATCAATCCGTGGATCATCATTTATGATTTTTTGTCTTGGATGAATTAGAGGAGTTCGCCCTACCTCTAGGTTTGTGCAAGCCAGGATTTTCCTGGTCTGGCTTCCTCCCTTTAGAAGTGGGGAAAATCAACACTTTTTTCCTATTTTCTCTTCTTTTTCTTCTGGATTCAACAAGAGTGAAGTCATCTGTATCAGAGGACTCATCTTGCATCCATTCCAAGGATAGAGTGTTTTTGTCAGCTTGCATAATCTCAATTGATTCAGTTTGAGATTCTGACAGTTTTTCAGATTGTTTTTGATATAAATCACTTCTAGCTTTCTCAAGATCTTTAAGTAAATTAAACGTGTCAAAATCATTTTCATCCAGTGCTACCCCCATATCAGCAGTAACATGAACAAGTTCTTCTATAGGCAAAACAGAGAAAGAATTATAATTCGTTTTGGGGTTACCTTCCAAGTTCCTTTTCTGTGTCACCATCTTAGTCTTTTCCGAAGTAGACATGGTAGTAGTCTTCTTCAATCTATCACTTCTTCTTTCATCTTCTGGGGGGATTTCCAGCTTCTCCTGGCCCAACTCAGAGGTGGAATTGTTTGGAGCAATGGTAGAGAGGTCAGTCATCTTCATAGGTTCATCACTGTCCAATTCAGTACTGCCTTGAGTATTGATGATGTTATCCTCAGTTATAAAAACCTCAGGGGACTGAGAGATCACACGAGCAGTATCACAAATATGAACAGAGTCATTATCCTTCTCTCCCAGTGCACAGGAAACATCTTTGATATTCATTTCAGGAGCCATATCCCTCATGATCCAGAGCTGTTTAGATGACTCGCCCTATCCATCCTTCATATGGTCACCCATACCAGCAAGATGACCAAGTCTTTGAGAGAATGAATCGCTATCACTGTCTGAATCTTCAAAGGTCTCCGGGATATGTACCTTACCATCTTCAATATCAGCATTATCAGATCTGGTATAAGCCTTCCTAGCATCCTTCATAAAGCCAGAATAAGATTGACCTCTATTGTCCATTTTAGGTGGGGCTGAGTAGATTGCTTTCTGTTTACCAGCAGCTTTTGCATCCTCCATATTTGCCATGCCATTCTGATTCTGCCCATCATTAGTACCTTTAACATATCCATGATCAGGTTTGGTTTTCTTAGCAGGAGGATGGTTTTCATCAGTAACCTTGATCCCACTTTTGAGCATTTTCTCAGTTCCTTCTATCAGAACTTCCCTTTCGAATCCAAAGTCCATCAGATACATCCCCAGTCTACTTTCAGCAGTTTTAGGCACTCTAGCGACATCCCTACAAGCAATTCGGAGTCTGACATAGTCATAATTGAATCTAGATTCTTCATCAATTTCAATGACTTTTCCAACCAAACCCCCAACCTTGGCTAAAGTTCTGACTGAACGCTGATAAGTAGGGATCCCAGTAACCCGAAACCAAGCAGATTGGTGTACTCCTTTAGCACCAACAGCAGGAGACCATGCCTCAATTTTGATCAGAGCCTCATTTCTCAGAGTTAAGTTCTTGACCCGACTTCACTGATTGGCCATATTAGCAGTTGGAAACCTCAACAAGAATTTACCATCTCCCACTGATCTAGCCCTCCACCTCCAGGCATCAGAACCGATTACACTCATGAATCAAACAGCGTGTTTACGAGATACTTATACTACTGACATATAAACGAAGAAGTTTCTGCGGTAACGTTCCTGTAGAGTGAAAGCTCATTGAGAAGCACCGAGTTGGCACGTACCGATCGTGGCAGAGGTGTCGAAGAAGACGCTGGAGACCTGCACGACGGTGGCCTTACGATGGGGAAAGCCGCCGGCTCGTCTCCGGCGTTCATGTCCACCTCCACGAACCCCTCCTCCATCACGCACATCACCTGCGCGCCGACAGTGGCCAAAGAACTGTTAGCAGCAGATTGGGGAAGGGATAGAGGAATCGGAATTGAGGAAGGCAGCACAGCAAAAGGGGCAGGAACAGATGATGAATCTTAGACTGTCTCCAACCGTCCGAACCCAAATAGGGAACGCATTCCTCGGTTTAGGTCGTGCACAGGAAAAAGGTCGGGACACCCAAGACTTCACGTTTCCAACAACGGACGCAAAAGTCCAAGCGCCGTCCGCTCCTCGCCTGGCCGCGCCCTGCCGCGGGCCCGCCGAGCTTGAGGAAGAAGGGAGTGGCTGCCGGCGTTGAGGAAGAAGAGGAGCGGGGTCCGGGGCGGCCACTCCCTTCCCCTCCCTTCTTCTGCGACAAACACGCAAAGGAAAAAAACAGAGCACCATTAGCAACATCACCCGCAGAGGCAGCAGATCGGGCGGCGCCCAGCCGCGACCACCGCCGTAGATCCGAGCCCAGCCCCAGATCTGGGCACAACGAGCTCACCTTCTCGCTGCCGGCGGGGGGAACCGACGCCGCGGCTTCAGCGGCGGCGGGAGGGGGCGCGTCGAGCTCCATGGGCTCCGGTCCCGGCGGCGCCTCCATGGTGGGTTGGACGGAACGGTCGGTCGGCCGGTCACACGCCACCGAGAAGGCCGAGGAGGAGGCGGCTCCTGCTTGCTTGCTTGCGGCTGCGGGCGGGGTGGTTCGCTCGCTCACTCGGCTTTGGGGGTGGGGAATGGGATGGTGGGGTGGGGTGGAGCAGCAGTGCTTTTGACCGGTCGCAGGCGGCGGCGGCGTCCGTGCCGCACGCAGCTCCGGGCGCGCTGCGCAGGGGCGTGGAGGGGAGGGGGGAGCAGCAAGGGGAGAGGAGGAAGAGAGGAGCGCACGGCCTCGCCGTCGTCGTCCGCGTACCGGGAGATTTGCGTCGTGGAGAGAGGCAACGTTTATTTGCATTGCGATTCGCCTGCTACGCAAAATGGGTGGTCGATTTGCGTCGTCCGTTGGAGCACGTTTCTTTCATCGAAAACACTGTAGACGACTATTTTGAGTTTGCGTCTGGTTTTGCCAAGTCCGTTGGAGACAGTCTTAGTTGCAGGATAATATGTTTGTTACAATGGTTCATGACCCTTTCACGAGAAGGTACTAGCCTATATAGTAAGACGCACGCACACGCATCTTCAGAGCTGGGCCCGGGTGTAGCCCATCTCTGACAGAATCGTCGAAATAACACGGTTTTTTAAGGCGCTCGTCTTCCATGAGACACTAAGCATCACAAAAGTTAACTACATCGGACAGTTCCGTCGAGCACACTCCACGGGAGAACTCGAATCAATCCACGTTTTACCTCTAGAATCTAATAATAAGTACGAGTATCGATGCAGAAAGTGACCAACACGTAAATATTTGTAGTTTTGTCGTACGTTGTGATCGGATGTGGCCTAGCACTCGATGATACAGGGTTTATACTGGTTCAGGCAACGTGCCCTACGTCCAATTTGAGTTGGTCGGTGACTTTATTCCTGAATCCAGGTGCTCAAAGTTTGTTGTGGGGTTACAAATGAGAGGGAGAAAAATAGAGGGTGCGAGAGGTCCGGTCGGACTCTGGACCGAAGGGCCGAGAGATACGGGAGCTCCTACGTGCGCTAAGTATTTGAGCGTGTGCTCTGTTTAAATCGTTTGAATCATAGGTTGTGCGATCTGCTGGTGGTTGAATCGTCTATGAACCGAATCGATCGTCCTTATTGGGAGAGAGCGTATCCCCTTTTATAGATGAAGGGGATGACCTTACAAGTGAGAGAGGGAGAGTTTACGTAAGTCTTGTTGTCCATGCCGTCAGGTACAATGATGATTGTAGGCGGCCACAACACTGTTAATATCAGATACATGTGGGAGGTCCCGTCGTCTTCTTCTGGTATGGCAGATGTCGGCGCCTACCATACTATTGGTGCCCAGAGGCACGCGGGGGGTTTTACCGTGTTCGCCTGGTATGGGAGTTGATGACATCCACAACACTGTAGGGCAAACGTCGGCGCCCACAACACTGCTTGGGTTCTGACATGCCTGGAAGATTGCAGGGCATCCTTCTAACATGCCCTGTTGATACTATCCTGTAGGTATACAGGGTACGGTTCTTGGTATTGCGGTTTACTTGAGCGCACTGTCTTACTTGCTCTGCTCGTTTCATGGGTCTTCATCGAGCGGGCGTCCTTGGTCTGTTGGTCCTAGTTTTCTCCGACTGCGCCAGTCGGAGAAGAGCTGTAAGTAGAGGTTCGGTGCGTCCCCAGTCGGAGAGGTGGGTTGGAGTCGGAAGCGAGCGACGTTCCTCCTTGGCCAGGCCTTCTGGTCGGAGAGGCGAGCCGGAGTCGGAAGCGAGCGTTGTTCCTCCTCGGCCAGGCCTTCTGGTCGGAGAGGCGGGCCGAAGTCGGAAGCGAGGCCTTTCAGTCGAAGAGGCGGGCCAGAGTCAGAAGTGGACACCGTTCCTCCTAGCTAGGCCTTCCAGTAGGAGAGGCGGTCCGAAGTTAGAAGCGGGCGGCGTTCCTCCTTGGCCAGGCCTTTCGATCAGAGATTGGATCGCCCTTTTGGCCTGTTCGTTAGGTATTTGGGCCGGCCCAGGAGTTACGCGTCGTTCGCAACGTCGTCTACTGAGCCGAGCTTTTGCTTGGAAGCAGGTCCATGAGGGACCCCGGGTTTATGAACCTGACAGGAGCCCCCGAGCACCCGGGCGATTCGGTTAAAATTGTCTGGAGGATTTTTGTCTTGACAGCGAGCGCACCCGCGGGTGAAGCCCCCGAGCCCCCGGGTAGTTCAGGCAGAATCGCCTGGGGGTTCTTTGTGTCGCCAATGGGGGAATTTTTATGTTTCGACAGCGGGTGCACGCGAGCGCACCTGCGGGTGTAGCCCCCGGGCGATTCGGGCAGAATCGCCTAGGGGTTTTGTTAGCGGGCGTGAGTGTGTGCACCTTGGTGGGCGTAGCCTTCTCTTTCTAGTTTTTGACCCATCATTTCCAGAAGCGCGGTCCCAGGCGTTTGGTCACGGCTAAGGGAATGGACGAGATGGAGTCGCAGACCCAGGTGTCGGGCGTAACCGAGGGACAACTGAGGGGTCGGGCGAGATGGACTCGCGGACCCAGGCGTCGGGTGCAGCCAAGGGATCGGGCGAGACGAAGTCGCGGACCCAAGCGTCCAGCACAACCAAGGGACAGCCGAGGGATCGGACGAGATGGACTCGCGGACCTAGGTGTTGGGCACAGCCGAGGGACAGCCGAGGGATCGGGTGAGACGGACTCACGGACCCAGGCGTCGGGCGTAGCCAAGGGATCGGGCGAGACGGAGTCGCGGACCCAACCGTCGAACGTAGCCAAGGCATAGCCGAGGGATCAGGTGAGATGGACTCGCGGACCCAGGTGTCGGGCGCAGCCGAGGGATTGCCAGGTCGGGCACAACCAAGGGACAGCCGAGGGATCGGGCGAGACAGACTCGCGGACCTAGGCATCGGGCACAGCCGAGGGACAGCCGAGACGGTCTAACGGATCCAGACGTTGGGTGCGCTGAGGGATTGGGCGAGTCGGAGTCATGGATCCAGATGTCGGGCGGGCCAAGAGATCAGGCGAGTCAGGTTCGTGGATCCAGGCACCGGGTGCGCCGAGGGATCGGGCGAGTCGGAGTCGTGGATCCAGGCGCTGGCTGCACCGAGGGATCGGGCAAGTCGGAGTCGCGGATCCAGGCGCCGGGCACACCGAGGGATCGAACAAGTCAGAGTCATGGATCCAGGTGCAGCCGAGGTCGTGCCAAGGTGTTGGGCGTCCCAAGCCCTTTTGCCCCATTGGGCTCAGAAGGGGTTGGTTGAGTTTTGTGCGTTATCCCATCCGCGGTTTCCACAACCGGAGGGGCTGAGCTAACGTCGCTTGCCTCGATGGCTCGAGTGACGCACTCGGTGAGCTCGCTAATGGGCACGCTCGAGTGAAATCCGGGTCCATTGTTTGTGATGGGGTCGAGATAGCCCTCATGTGGCATTCCACTGCTCCTTAACCCACGTCCCGGTAGATGCCTGGGTCGTTCCGGAGACTGACCCGGGTGGCCCGCTGGCCTCCCCTCGATGGAGATTCTATGGGCATGGCTCAAGGTTAGGATCGAACGAGAAGGTTGAGATGACCCTGTCTGCTTCGGAGCAGACTGGGTGAGGGCCGCTCGGGGCTCATCTGTGTTTTCTCCCCTGGCTCTATTTGACGTGGGGCGGCCTCGAGCCCTTCATGGGCCGGCCTTTGAACCCCGGTCTGTCGTTGCTCATGTTGAATGAGGCAGCTGCTGCTTTATGACGCAATATGAAGCGTTGTGATGCATTTAACTGCATATGCGATGCTTCGGATGTATGGGATGAATGAATGCGTGCATGGATTAATGTGGGAACGAATGTATGAATGACAACAGATGAATGAATGATCACATAAAGAAATAGTGGGGTTTGGTAATATTACCTTGATGACTCGAGTGATGGGGTTTGAGGAGCTCCTATCGGATATGTCCGACCAGGATCTGCGCTGGTCGTTCGTGACGGAGTCGGCATAGCCCACATGGGGTGTCCCTCTGCTCCTTACCTGTCTCTCGGCGTTCGCCTAAGCCATCTGATCGACTCAGGAAGCCTGTTGGTCTCTCCTAGGTGAAGATCCCGTCGTTGGGCCCTTCCAAGTCTTGCCTAGGAAGATGGAGGGCCGCCTACGCGTAGTTGCACCTTGTTTCTCACGCCCGGCGTGCAGTAGTGGTGGGCCATACCCAGGCCACGTCCCGTCTAACCAGGCGCCGTCTCATCGGGCAGGGTGCGTCCCATCGGTCAAGGCGCATCCCGTCGTATCCCATCCGCATTGAATGGGGGAAGGGAGATGGTTTTTCACCCCAATCCCTCGCCTTTCCCCAACTGTTGCGCCTTCTCCTTAAATAGGGGACGAGAGAGGGCTTTCGTCCCGTTCCTTCGCCTATTCCTCATCTGCCGCCTCTTTTCCTTCTTTCTTCTCGCCAAGAGCGTTTGAGTGCCACGGCGATTCCTAGGAGAAAAAGGGGAGAGCGAGGGAGAGGAGAAAACTCACAGATCCATTTGCGGATCCGGAGCGCCATGTCGAGCTGGAGGTCATCCGTTGTGAGCGAGTTGGTGCTGTCCGCCTTCGCCGAGAAGGGAGTGCCGCCGCTGAAGGAGGTGGCGCACTGGAGGGCTCCTATGGGGGAGGATTTCCCACGACCTTGGGCCGGTGAGGTCGTCTCCTTCCTCAATGAGTGGGGCCTGGAGTTGCAGCATCTCAACCCGACTGGGGTGCTGCATATTGTCGGCTTCGTCACCGTCTATGAGGCCTTCCTCGAGATGGAGCCGCACGTGGAGTTCTTCCGGTGGCTCTTCTCTGGGTGAGCTTTGTCGGAGGGGGACCCACCCAAGACCACGTCGGTGGGGGGCTTCACGCCTGCAGCTACTCAGGTTGACCAATTCATAAAGTTTGATGAGATGTCAGAGACATCCTCCAGCCATGGCGGCCATACTTCAGCAGACAGCGTCCCTGTCCAAGAGCTGCCCCTCGTCTGTATGGGAAAGTTTAGAGCTCCATGCTCTCCTGCTGAGCA